GTGAAGCAAAAGGCATAGGAGTCAAACGACATATGAACCGAGAGACATGAGAGACGAGGGACGTGTGAACCGAGCCACATGAGAGACGGGCAATACATGAACCAAGAGACACAATGGCAAGTTTAGCAAACGACATGAGAGACGAGGGACATGAACCCAGCGACATGAGAGTCGACTGACATGTGAACCTAGAGACATGAAAGACGAGCGACATGTGAACCAAGAGACACGAGGAACGAACGACATGTGAACCATAAGACACGAGCGATATATTAACCGAGGGACAGGAAGGCAAGTGAAGCAAAAGACATGAGACACAAGCGACGTGTGACCCAAGAGGCATGAGGGGCATGTGAATTGAGAGACATAAGAGACAAGCGACATGTGAACCGAGAGGCACGAGGGCATGTGAATCGAAAGGAATGAGAGTCAAGCGACATGTGAACCAAGAGAATGGAGACACGAGCAATATATGAAACGAGAGGCACGAGGCCAAGTGAAGTGAAAGACATGCGACACGAGCGACATGTGAACAGATAGACATGAGACACGAAAGAGTATGGAGCGGAGATACACTACAGGGTTGAAAGCATTCAGAGAGCAGGGAAAAGGGTCAAGGAGTGAAGAGACAAAGAAGAGGCAAAAGTAAGGGTGAGTGTACAGATGCTTACAAGGCTGAATCAATAGCAAGCACGATGAGGGCGAGTGAGAGCACCACTTCTGAGAAGCTCTGCAACAGGGGACGATGGCCAAGCAAAGGGATATGACGGAGGGGAGAACACGAGAAGTTTTAGTAGAACACGCCGAAACTTGACATGCAAACATTGATGATGGTGTGGCAGATGAAGCTATGTATATGTGTGTGCGTGTGTGTATGTGTGTACGTGCGTGCGTGCGTGCGTGCGTGTGTGTGTGTGTGTGTGTGTGTGTGTGTGTGTGTGTGTGTGTGTGTGTGTGTGTGTGTGTGTGTGTGTGTGTGTGTGTGTGTGTGTATGTGCATGCGTGCGTATGTCTGAGCGTGCGAGCGTGTGTGCGTGCTTGTGTGTGTGTTGGCTCGTGGCAGAAAAACGTGGTAAGGTGTATGAAGAGGTGAAATGATCTGAGAAAACGTAGAAGAGGGTATACGATATGAGATTGTTTTCATTTCCTGTTCAATTTTTCTTATTCGTTGGAGACACAATTCCAAGAATGCTTTCATAATCAATCGCGGCTTACACGGTAGTGATGGATGTGACCGTAAATAGAACTGGAAGAAGAGAGTCGAACAAAGGTTGCTAGGAACTTTCCTGATGTAGAAGGGCAAGGAAAATAGAGGAAAAGATCCAAGTGAAAGTGACCATACAGGGAACGACAAAGAGGTGAACTATCACGATAGGATTAGAATGCATGGGCAATAGATCCTGTTTGGATTGCCATAACACATCATCTCTTCCCTCGCTCCTCATTCGACCCCTTCTTCTCTCTCCCCATCTCCTATCTTCTATTTCTCTGAAATTTCTGACTCACCTGTGACCACGATGATCGCACACCGCGTTGCTACTCCCCCGTCGACAAAAGGAGTCCTCGTGTGTTAAATCCTTGGAGGGAGAGTGTGAGGAACGGGCAGGGGGGGAGGGAGGGTGAAAGTTATCGGCATGTGGTGTGTCCTGAATGGCTCCTTGGGTAGGCCACAATAATGCCATGTCCCCAACCAAACTTTTAACAGTGATTACTCAGATAATACACCAAAAAAATAATGTGTTGTCCAATAAGAGCAGCTGATTTTCTTAAATTATTAACAGCGCGCTCTCATTTAAACATGCCCAATTAGAACAGTTGTTAGTTGCGTATGGATTTGATTTGTTAAGCGAAAGGACAAGGATTCGAAACCTACGTGTGTTAAAACAAAACAGCAGCCGATAAAAATGCAAGTTTTAGCAAACTTAGCCTGCCTACCGAGAATCGATCCCCGTACTTTTATATTCACATACGTAAGAAACCTACTGCGCTAAACAAGCTGTAAAATATAGAAGTCACAAATATTTATTTATTTTTGTGTTTGGTGGCATCATTTTCTCCCGCTAATCTACTTACAAATTCTGTGGCACACATGCTTAGCGCCTAAAAGGCCAGCAAAAGGAGCCAGCGCCCAAGGGCGCCTGCGCAAGGCGAAGCGCCCAAAGGCGCCCGCGCCCAAAGGCGCCCACGCAAGGCGCCAGCGCTCAACTTCGCCAGCGCCGAAAGGCGCCAGCGCAACGGCGCCAGCGCCCAAGAGCGCCTGCGCAAGGCTGATGCGCCCAACTGCGCCAGCGCCCAAAGGCGCCAGCGCCCAAAGGCGCCAGCGCCCAAACGCGCCAGCGTCCAAAAGGCGCAAGTGCAAAGCGCCAGCGCCCAAGGCGCCAGCACAAAGCGCCAGCGCCCAAGGCGCCAGCGCAAAGCGCCAGCGCCCAAGGCGCCAGCGCCCAAGGCGCCAGCGCCCAAGGCGCCAGCGCCCAACACGCTATGGCGAACTGCCAGCGCTTTTGTGCCAGCAACCAATGCACCAGCACCAAGGAAACATGGGTGTTTCTTACCAAAAAGATTGTCACTATTCCTTCTTTGAAATCTGTACTTGTGGTGTCAATCAGTAGGAAGAGCATGTTTGTGAGGATTGCTAGCTCTGAGCAATAGCTAAGTAGTACTAGCTGGATGGGAGGGATGGGCACGAAGGACTCCAATGGGCACAAAGGACTCCAAGGGGGAGAGGGGATTCGAAGAAAGAAAACGCTTCGGAGGATTTCTTCTCAAATCTGAGGTCGGTTCAAAGTTGCTCTAGGTGTCAAATTCGAAATGAAACTTGGGGGCAAAACGAGTCAACTTTTAACTTTTATTTCTTCTAAGAGGCTTGGGCAGGTTTAAGTAACTTTTGGGCTGTATTACAAAAATCTACTCTTCCAGAATTTGGCTCACGTGAAATCCACGTCAAATTTACAGGATTGACACAATTCTGCTCCTGATGAGTCACCTCATCATTTCTAAAACAACTCATACAAAGTGAACAGACTAGTGTGGTCCTTAATATAGTGCATCTAAATCCTTTACCTTAAGATAGTTTCAATATAACCATATTCATATCATGATAGCTAAAAGGTTATGTCTAACATATTATAGCTCGAAATCCAACATATTAATTGCAAATGAAAAAAAAACTAATACTCAATATAGACTTCCTATTGTATTTCTCATACATCAAGTGCGATTAATTAAATCTATTACAAATAAAAGCCATTAATCGCACACGCAAGCACAATCTACGGTATCTATTTTACCCTCCAAACAGAAGCCCTTATGTAGCACGTTAAATGCCCGTTTAATCATTCACCTATTCCAAAGTAGCAATCACCAACATATGCAGTTGTGATCATATAATATTTTCGTTATGCTTATGATATTTTAGTACTTATATATCGAGAATGTATACCTACGCAACCCATACGACGTTAAACGTCGAGTCTTGTTTTCCTTCCGTCCTTCCGTGGCTGCCGAACTGGGCCTAGGTGATGTTGCGACTGCAGGATGTAGTGCTGAACTTGCGGCTAGAATCTGCCACAGCATTGCAACTCGATCCCAGTCATCACTACCTCAAAATTTCGACCAATGATGATAAGGGCGGAGGTGACACAGCACAGCTCCAGTCTATAGGCAAATTCAGAAAGCTAACAAATATAGAATACTTGCAAATATGCTTTATCGTCTGGATCTCAGGTGGTCAGCACAAAAACTGTGTACTGGTGGTAACCTGTTCAGAACGGCGTTTTCACTTCCTCTTGATACTCCCACGGGATGTTGAAATTTTGTTGTTTATAACCCTCTCACATTCCAACTCTTCCTTCTCCCCAGCTTAACTTGCCCAATCTATCCCAGCCACCTTTTGTAGGTACATGTATACCTCCCCGTACGCCTCGCACATCCCACGTCCCTTGATCCCGTACGGTATGCCTTTTCCAAGTTCCGACCCACCACCAGAGTCTAATGCTTCTCACAGCCTGATTCCCTCCCTTCCCCCACTACCCCTCCCCCTCCCCCCACCACCCCCCGTCCCCCCCCCCCCCCGCTCATCACCAAGTTCAGCTTTTCAGACCCTCGCACCTCTCTCTGCCCAACTCCCCCAGTCCCTCGCATCTCCCCCTGCCCAACTCCCCAAGTCCCTCGCATCTCTCCCTGCCCAACTGCCCCAGTCCCTCGCATCTCCCCCTGCCCAACTCCCCCAGTCCCTCGCTCGCACCTCTCCCTGCCCAACTCCCATAATACCTCATGATTATCACAAAGTCACAGCCCCCCCCACCCCACCCTCTCCCACCCTGCTTCTCTTCCTCCTCTTCACTGCCCCCCTTCATCCTCCCCCCCTCCAAGTGCTTCGCACCTCTTCCAATCCAACTCCCTATGTCACTTGCGCCTCTTCCACCTCCCAATTCCCTATTCGTCTCGTTTCTTGCAACCCAGCCCTTTTCTCGCACCTTTCACCACTCACCCCGTCCTGCAGACAATCTTGCCCTTGCATTAAAAAAACGTCCCCCTTTCCCTCATCAAATCCCTAGAAACCTCTTCCAAATTCCTCACTACTAGCAAGCAACCTAACACCTCCCCCACTCCCCCCGAGTTCACACTACCAACCAGAAGTACTACTAACAACCCTGAGTACTCAGTCAGACCTCCATCCACGTGAACACTGAATGGCAGCCTACCTTGCCAGCCTGCTCCCATCATTCAACCATTGCACATGGCTACAGTAGGTACTGGAAGGTGCAAGGAAAAAACACTCAATAATGTAGCATGATTATGCACCAATAACGAACGAATTAATGCCTGGAAGGACCAGCTTCACTTTTTCTAGTGTGTGGTGATCGCTAACTCCTACGTTTTCGAGGCAAGGGAATGCTTTCAAGCATTCAACAAAAAGCTGAAACCTCAGCAACAGAGTCTTGAGCGACCTGAAACACTTAAGGTATTCCATCCCCCGATAGGTAATATTTGGGGGGAGGCTAAGCCATCTTAACTTGACCAGAGGGGTAAGGCACCATAACCCGTAATCACACACCTGCGTATTAGCAATATCCAGGTGCTCCAGATTTCCCAGCTTTCCCACATATACCATGCTGTCAGACGTGAAGCTCCCCCCGAACAACTGCTGAGACAGAACAAGACTCTGTAACGAGGACAGGGTTGTGAGGTTAGCAAGCCCATTACCTGACATTGGAGTATCACGCAACTCCAGATGGCGAAGGGCTTTAAGATTCGCGATTTCAGGCAACAAGGGCTCGGAAACCGATTCCAGTCTCAGCTCTTCCAGCCATGTCATGGAGTAGAGGTGCAGCAGAGCAGGCTTTTCGAGATTTCCAATAACGGAGATGCTCTTGAGGGATCGCATGCAGGAGAGATGCAGGAAACCGAAGAGTGTCAGGTGAGAAGGGTCATTGAGCGTGATTTCGGTGGTTTCAGGGTGGAGACTGATGATCTGCATGTCCTCCTCTGAGGGAAGATGACGAACGGCTTCCGGAATTGCCTGTAAGTATGGCAGGAATGAGTGTGGGGAATAATAAGACACCATGGTGCGGCTTACCATCAACTATGGTGCGGAAAAATCAGCAATATGGTGCGAAATGATCAGCAACCACAAAACGACGGGAACCCCTTCCGAATTCCATGACATGCAATCAGAGGTGGCGACTTTCGCGACGTCTCACCTCCCAGACCTTCCGCATCTCCTCCTTCCGCTGAGCCAGCGCTTCCTCTGCATCCGCCAGGCGCGCTGACAACGCATGCACCTCCATTTCCTTATCCTCCCTTGCAGCCCTCTCCCGTGCTAGGTCATCCTCTAACCGTCGAATGTTTGACCTACTCGCTTCTCTGTCTTCAACCAGGGTCTGTTCAATAGTTTCCACCTTCTTGCTAAGGACAGTCAACAGCTCCTGAAGCCTGACAACGGTGTCGTCCGTTTCAATTTTGTGCCGTTTGCATTCCTCCGAATCCCCCCTCGCGTCGTCTAAAACGGAATATTCCGTGTCAAATCCTCGCTTCGCCATTGGTCCGATCTGTCAATTATAAATGGAACGGAGTTGCAAGCGCTATGTCCAACAAGATTGATAGCAAAGCGTTTCGCTTTATGGAATGGAAAAAAAACGGTATCTGATTGTTGAGGTGTGTGTGAGCAAGAAGCTGACGACGGCTCGCATACGAAACAGACGAATTCAAACCATAGTACAAGGTAACCTAATTCGAAGGACAACAGCAGACACTGGCTGTTCAGCCTCTGATGGTGTAACTTCACTGATACGAGACTCCAGCTGCTTCTGCTTGTGAATGGGATAGGTGCTGTTGGTGAATGAAGGGAATGGCTAGGCAAGGATGAGAGTTGTTTGCTGAGGGCGTGACCAGTCATGTTGTGAGGAACGGACCCTCGCACCAAAGCCCCTGAGCTCGTCTAAGGGCATGTTACATCCTTTAATTATGATCGTCTGGACAGCTGACTGTCCGGATTTTGTAGGGTTACTAGAACTGCAGAAATACGGTGTCGAATATATGCAAGACGAGTTTGGTTACCCTATAAACGACCGGGCAGCCGGCTGTCCGTACCGTCAAAAACAAAAACTCTAGCACGCCCTGAAACATTCTACACCCGAAAAGTACTACACTCTGCAGGAATGCCAAATTCCTTACAGTACACTCCGTGGATTCAACTCTGTAGAATCGGCCCACACTACAGAACATGTGGAACTTTCAGACTACTAGTACTGGTTCTGCTGATAAATGCAAGACCTTGCATTGACGTTTCAGCACATGGTGGATAAGTAGATTAGGGTAAACAAAGCAACAAGCCAACCCACAACCTATTTACTGTACAGTCAAATCCATTGTTAAGATTCCTAAAAATGTCAATCTTACGACGGTATCTCTTAGCGATCAACATGCCGCAAGTATCTCCGCGCCTCACACTGTACAATCGCTTGGTTGAACATGTATTGCCAGATAACGGCCGGCCGTCAACACTAGCCACACAAATCTGTGAGTCAACCATCAGTGAGGAACAGGATGGAAGGGGAAGAAAAAGAGACTGCGTTGAATAACCTTCACACACAAAGGCAGAGACAGAGACGGAGACAGAGGCAAAGACAGAGACGGAGACAGAGACAGAGGCAGAGACAGAGACAGAGGCAGAGACATCGACAGCAGCACCAGACACAGGCACTGGCACGGGCACAGGTGCGATTTGCAGCGTATAGCGTATAACCTCCTTCTCCTGCACCCCACACAGACCTTTCCGACTCACCCGACTCATCATGTTGCCCTGCAGGGGGCTGTGCGGCAGCAGCGAGTCGCACGAGAGGCCGGGATTCATCTGGAAGAAGCGCGTGGGGAAGGCGATGGCAAACACTGCGCGTCTCCCCACTTGCCCCCCCACCCACCGCACACAGGCAACCCAACTCACCCTTGTCATCATATTGCCCTGCAGGGGGCTGTACGGCAGCAGTGCATCGCACGATAGGCCCTGATTCATCTGGAAGAAGCGCGAGGGAGAGGCGACGCCAAATGCCCGCCACAGCTGCTGGCAGCTCTGCGGGCCTGGTAGCACAGTCACGGGCACACCTAGGATTGTGTAGTTGGCTAGAGGCGGAGGAGGAAGGGGTGGTTGAGGGCTGGGTGGGGTTGGGGATGGGGTTGGTGTCACGGCTGGGGTGATTTGGGCCTGGAGCTTGCATGATATGCGGGTTCTTCCCTCCTCTAGCCACGTCTGGTTGGAGTTGACGCAGAGGAGCTGGGAAGGAGGGAGGGGGGAGAACACGGGGGTGGTTGAGGGCTGTTGATGGGGTTGTTGTGGATACTGCCGGGGTGATTTGGGCTTGGAGTTTGCATGATATGCGGGTTTTATCCTCGCCTAGCCACGTCTGGTTGAAGGCTACGCAGAGGAGCTGTGAAGGAGGGAGGGAGGAGAACGGGAGAGAGGGGGAGAGGGGGGAGAGGGGGGAGAAAGGGAGAGAAGGAGGAGAAAGGGGGAGAGGGAGGAGAAAGGGGGAGAGGGAGGCAAAAGGGGGAGAGGGAGGAGAAAGGGAGAGAAGGAAGATGGGGGAGAGGGGGGAGATGAATGTGTGAAGAAAACGTGGCGAAGGGGGAAGAGGGGAGGAGAAGGAGGAGATGGATGAGAATGGGGGAGTGGGAAGAGAGAGGGAATAGGAATGTGTGAACACACTCCCGTTTCTGTGGAGATCTAGTTTGGAGACCAAATTGTGTGATGTGATGTGACATGATGCAATGCCATTTAATGTGATGTGACATGATGCAATGCCATTTAATGTGATGTGACATGATGCAATGCCATTTTATGTGATGTGACATGATGCAATGCCATTTAATGTGATGTGACATGATGCAATGCCATTTAATGTGATGTGACATGATGCAATGCCATTTTATGTGATGTGACATGATGCAATGCCATTTAATGTGATGTGACATGATGCAATGCCATTTAATGTGATGTGACATGATGCAATGCCATTTAATGTGATGTGACATGATGCAATGCCATTTTATGTGATGTGACATGATGCAATGCCATTTAATGTGATGTGACATGATGCAATGCCATTTAATGTGATGTGACATGATGCAATGCCATTTAATGTGATGTGACATGATGCAATGCCATTTAATGTGATGTGATCTCATGCGATGTGATGTAGTTTTGATGAGCAGTAGCCAATCAAGGGCTTTAATGACCAACCATTCATATCTCAAGCAGTTATATCTCAAACTAGCAGATTCAAAGAGCGGGCATTCACACCCTGGCGAAATTAGCGGAAAACAGCTTCAAATGTGAGCATTCAGATCCTAGACAGCTGTATAAAGATGTGCTGCCCTGATGATGTGTCATTGTCACGTGTAGCGAGGGTGTATTTGAGACGTCTCAAAAACACCCTCGCTACAAATTAACGGAAAACAGCTGCAAGTGCGAGCATTCAGATCCTAGACACCTGTATAAAGATGTGCTGCCCTAATGATCTTTGAGTCGACTCAAAAGTCACCCTGATTCCAAAGACCTGTATAAAGAGGGGCTACCCTGATGACCTGTCACTGCAGCAGCATCAGTTAACACCGTACCTGCCTTCTCTTGCAACCACCTACACTCACCTCCACCTACACCCCCCTTGACCAACCTACACTCACCAACACCCACCTCCACCCCTCAAGACCCACCAACACATACCTGCAGCAAGCACTCACCTGAGTATCTGCACTCACACTCACATGCACTCACCTAACTCACTTGCACCCACCTGCACCTGCACCCACCTGCACCTGCACCCACCTGCACCCACCTGCACCGATGCTCACCTGGCCGGGCCTGGGCCCGTCGGAGCAGGTGAGGGCGGGGTTGAGCGGCTGTATCTGCGTGGAGAAGAGGGCGTTGAGTGAGTCACACGTGTCACCCTGCCGTTACACACACAAACATCACGTAAGGTATAGCAGGAAGTGGGAGAGAAAGCGCGGTCATTGGAGGATCGAGTTGAGCAGCTGGGATTGAATGGAGAATAGGGGGTTAATGGATTCACACTTGCCAACCTGCACACACACAGGGACCGAGGATGGGGGTGGGAAGATGGAGGGAGTAGGGTTCTTGAGGCAAGTGGTGGGAAGGCAAACACTCGCAGGGAAAGAGGTGAGTGAGTGGCAGGGAAAGAGTGTTAGATTATAGCATCAGTTGAGTTGTACATGTGCAAGTGTAACACCCAAACATGGGTGTACACTTTGGGCCAAGGCGCCCCAACCAGTTGTGGCTGGGCGCGTCCCAACCCCACTCTGCCACAATTGGCGGGGGGAACCAGGCCCCCCAATAATTGGCAGCCACCTCCAAAACATTATTGGTGGCCACTCCCATTGGCTCACCAATAATGTTGCGGGTACCCAACCTGGGTCCCCCACTTCTCATCGCTTATATGTACCCACGATCTTTCTAATCAAATCAACTCTTGAGTTCACCGCTCATCCCAGCTATGGGATTCTCACAAAGAGGCGAGTGAGTCGCGGGGAAAGAGGTGAGTGAGTCGCGGGGAAAGAGGTGAGTGAGTTGCGGGGAAAGAGGTGAGTGAGTCGCGGGGAAAGAGGTGAGTGAGTCGCGGGGAAAGAGGTGAGTGAGTCGCGGGGAAAGAGGTGAGTGAGTCGCGGGGAAAGAGGTGAGTGAGTCGCGGGGAAAGAGGTGAGTGAGTCGCGGGGAAAGAGGTGAGTGAGTGGCAGGGAGAGAGGTGAGTGAGTCGCGGGGAAAGAGGTGAGTGAGTGGCAGGGAGAGAGGTGAAAGAGGTGAGTCAGTGGCAGGGAAAGAGGTGAGTGAGCGGCAGGGAAAGAGGTGAGTGAGCGGCAGGGAAAGAGGTGAGTGAGTGGCAGGGAAAGAGAAAGGAGGGCGTTGGGGGACGAGTCGTACTAGTTACCCTGCCGGCACACATGGAGGGAGGGGAGGGGGGGATGAAGGGAGTGAGCAGACGGAGGGAGGGGGCAGATGGAGGGAGTGTGAATGGAGGGAGGGGAGGGGAAACTGCAAATACAGGCTGAGATTCAGAATGAGCAGTGATGAGGGTGGCAAGTTTTGAGGTTAGGCTGAAAGGCACTTATATAAACCCACTGGCACTTACATAAACGCACTGGCACTTATATAAACGCACTGGAAAATACTGCGACACAATGGCACGTACATAATTAGCGGTGTACATGGAAGTGCATTGGGAGAAAGCCCGGCTGGTGATGTTGACCAGAGTGTCTACAGGGATGGGCGCTCTGCATTGAAAGCCCTGCAGTCAGAACAAGGAGAGATGGAGGATGACCTTTGACTTGACTCAAATGTACATGGCAGTGCGTTGAGAGAAAGCCCAGCTGGAGAAAGCCTGGCAATGAGGTGCAGGTGACTAGAAAAAGGGGCAGGTGAGGTGACTAGAAAGGGGGCAGTATAAAAGGCTATGCGTTTGCGTGATGCCACACGATCCGATCCGATCCGATCCGATCCGATGTAACTTGTAGCATCCTGAATTGATAGGTAGTTGTGAAACCTGTCAAAAGCTTGACCTTGTTTTGGCTGAAGACCTTTAGCCTGTGTGAGTCACAGGCCTAAAAACTGTTGAAGACTTTTTTGGCGGCTCAAAAATAGTTGAGGATTGAAAAACAAGAGAGCGGGCATTTGAGATAAAGAGATGCGATGCAATGTCACCTGATGATGATGTGATGTGATGTGATGTGATGTGATGAGAAACATGATGACCCACCAACCACAGCCGAGCCTATGTTGAGAATCCGCACAAGTGATGAGATGTGAAACGTGCTGACTCCCCAACCACAGCCTCAACCTCCCTTCCGCTTAACACCCCTCCCTAACCAAAGCCTTTCAGGTAATGTTTCAACTGAAATGCCTTTCAGATCTAAACAAAGCACAGCATACACCTACCTTCAGTTCAACTCCGGACCTTGTTTTGGGCGAAGAAGTCTGCTTGGGTGAGCCCGTATGTGTTGAGGATGAGCGCGCATGTGAGGCCGTATGGCGACAGAAAGGTGGGCATTCGAGTCTCAGCCAATCGCACTGCATGCACGGGGTAAGCATACATGGGGTAAGCATGCATGGGGTAAGCATGCATGGGGTAGGCATGCATGGGGTAGGCATGCACGGGGTAGGCATGCATGGGGTGAGCATGCATGGGGTAAGCATGCACGGGGTAAGCATGCATGGGGTAAGCATACATGGGGTAAGCATGCATGGGATAAGCATGCATGGGGTAAGCATGCATGGGGTAGGCATGCATGGGGTAGGCATGCACGGGGTAGGCATGCATGGGGTGAGCATGCATGGGGAAATAACGATAGCGATATATAAGTCCATGGGATGAGCCAATAAGATGTAAGCACAGGAGATACGAGGTCCATGTGATGTGGTGAGAGCCGAGGTCCATGTGATGTGGTGAGAGCCGAGGTCCATGTGATGTGGTGAGAGCCGAGGTCCATGTGATGTGCTGAGATACGAGGTCCATGTGATGTGCTGAGAGCCGCTGCAAGCAAGACCAGCTGACCGTGTGGTACGCACGCTGGTAACAGCGGGCAGCGCCTTTGGGGTAGAAGTAGACGGGAAAGAAGGGCGAGGGGCAAAGGCTGGTAGAAACAAGCAATCAAGCAAGCAAGCGAGCAAGGACGGAAGCAAGCAAGCAAGACCATCTGACAAGTTATACGCGCACTGGTAACAGCGGGCAGCGCCTTTGGGGTAGAAGTAGACGGGAAAGAAGGGCGAGGGGCAAAGGCTGGTAGAAGCAAGCAATCAAGCAAGCAAGGAAGCAAGCAAGCGAGCAAGCAAGCAAGACCATCTGACAAGTGATACGCGCACTGGTAACAGCGGGCAGCGCCTTTGGGGTAGAAGTAGACGGGAAAGAAGGGCGAGGGGCAAAGGCTGGTAGAAGCAAGCAATCAAGCAAGCAAGGAAGCAAGCAAGCAAGCAAGACCATCTGACAAGTGATACGCACACTGGTAACAGTGGGCAGCGCCTTTGGGGTAGAAGTGAACGGGAAAGAAGGGCGAGGGGCAAAGGCTGGTAGAAGCAAGCAATCAAGCAAGCAAGGAAGCAAGCAAGCGAGCAAGCAAGCAAGACCATCTGACAAGTGATACGCGCACTGGTAACAGCGGGCAGCGCCTTTGGGGTAGAAGTAGACGGGAAAGAAGGGCGAGGGGCAAAGGCTGGTAGAAGCAAGCAATCAAGCAAGCAAGGAAGCAAGCAAGCAAGCAAGACCATCTGACAAGTGATACGCACACTGGTAACAGTGGGCAGCGCCTTTGGGGTAGAAGTGAACGGGAAAGAAGGGCGAGGGGCAAAGGCTGGTAGAAGCAAGCAATCAAGCAAGCAAGCGAGCAAGGAAGCAAGCAAGCGAGGCAAGCAAGACCATCTGACAAGTGATACGCACACTGGTAACAGCGGGCAGCGCCTTTGGGATAGAAATAGAAGGGGAAGAAGGGCGAGGGGCAGAGGCAGGAGTAGGTGCCGTCTACGTCATCAATGCACACCCCCGGGGCACACGGGTTGCGGGGGAACTGGCGACACGTGAAGGAATCTGTTTAAGGGAGGGGGGGAAGGGGAATGAGAATCGGGGGAGCAGAGTGGAAAGAGAGCAGGAGTGAGTGAGCAGCACAGGCGCACAACATCGATGCACACCCCCAGGAGCACATGGGAGAAAGGTAGAGTTTTGAGACGTCTCACAACTCTACTTATAGCAAGTGAGTGAGCAGCACAGCAGCACACCATTGATCCAAATCCCTGATAACAGGGAAGGAACATCAGGGGTACACATGGGTTGTGGAAGAGCTAATGACACGTGAAGGAATCTAGTGAGAGGTTGAGGGGAAAAGGGGACAGCGGGAAAATGGGACAGGGGGACAAGGGGGCAAGCGGAAAGGGGGGTGGAGAACGAGAAAAGAGGAGTATGGGGAAGACACGGGAAGGGGAAAGGCGGTGGGTGGGAAAGGAGGGGAAACGAGAAAGAAGGGTATTGCAGGAGCGGACATAGTGCATTAGAGTGCAAACCATTTGTAAAATTTCAACAGAAAAAAAAAAAAGAAAAAAAAAGAGTAGGTTGATTAAAGATTTAGTAGTACAAACTTTTTCATTTTCTGAAGAATGTTGTGGATCTAGAATGAGTGCATGCGTAAAAAACTGTATCATCCACAAACAAACCAAAAGGGCACCTAGTGCATCCACCTCTCACCCACTGCGCTCTGCCTCTCACCTACCGCACTCCACCTCTCATCTACTGCACTCCACCTCTCACCTACTGCACTCCATCTCTCACCTACCGCACTCCACCTCTTGCCTACAGCACCCCACCTCGTGCCTACCGCACTCCACCTCTTGCCTACCACACTCCACGTCTCACCAGGGAAGCAGGAGGGCAGGCCGGAGAGGTGGGATGGTTGGAAGGAGGGGAGCTTCAAGGGGCACTTGCAGGAGGGCACGAGGATAGACGGGTCCCACGGGGCACGTGCCTTGGTGCATGCACCCGTGCCACAGGGCAGCACCGGAGAACCCTTGCAGGGGTCGGTGTCTGTTGGGGGAGAGGGAAAACGAGAACAAGGAATATTTGAGAGAGAAGGTGTGATACACAAGGTAAACGAATCCCATGGGGCAGGTGCCTTGGTGCAAGGGGATACATGGGGTTGAAGGAAATAAGTGGGGTTGCAAGTGGATACGTGGGAATGCAAGGGGATACGTGGGGTTGCAAGGGGGATACGCGGGAATGCAAGGGGATACGTGGGGTTGCAAGGGGCCTACCTGTGAATCGGAAGGTCCAGGAGGAGAGGGCGACGGGGGAAGGCAGGCGGCCAGGGGGGGGAGGGAGAGCAGCGCTGGTGAACCCAACGACCAGCTGCCCAAAGGATGGCGACGACAGGTCCGTTGCACCGCTGCTGTCACTGCTGCTGCTGCTGCTGCTGCTGCTGCTGCTGCTGCTGCTGCTGCTGCTGCTGCTGCCACTTGTGGTGGTGGTGGTGGTAGTGGTGCTGCTGCTGCTGCTGCTGCCGCTGCCACTGCCACTACCATTGCCGCCGCCGCCGCCGCCACTGCTGCTTCCACTGACAGCAGAGGGCCCAGTGAGAGCAGCACAGAGGTCAAGAGAGACGTTCAAGCTGCCTACTAGAACAGGAGGTTGGTACCATCTGATCAGCATCTCCTTGCTCCTCCCGTTATAGTCAACCCTCATCTGCAACACCTCCTCAGGCTCCACGACAGTTGACAACTTCCCCGTAAAAATCGAAGTCATGTTGAAGTCAGTGTTAACGCCAAAGTGTATAGTATATACATCGTCAATATCCGGGTGCCAAAACACAGCTACACTCCGCGCGCCGTCCGGCCAGCTGCCATTAGAGAGTCGCAAGGATGGGTCCCGGCCATACCCCATATAAAGCCCGCCTAGGCCCAGGGTCGCATGAGTGCTTATAACGAACGCGAGCCCTTGGGAAGCAGATACATTTAGGGAAAAGCCGTATGTGAAGGTGAAAGAGCGAGCCATGCAGGTTGGGGGTTCGGTTGCTGTGGGTTGGGGAGGGGGGGGGGAAGGAGAGGAATGGGGGGAGCTACGAGGACGAGGAGGAGGAGGAGGAGGTGGGAAGGGAGGGGAGGAGGAAGAGTAGAGGAGGGGGAGACGGCGAGGGAAGTAGATGGCTCCGGGGGCGGGATCGTCCGATTGGCCACTGGATGATGCCACGTCAGCAGCGACAGAGAGATCTGCGGCGAAGAAGCGTTTTCTGGTGCTGCCACGTGTCAGCAGGGGAGTGGCTGGCGTGATGTAGGGGAAGGAGAACGAGTGTGCTGCCCAAAACGGAAGCGGATCCTCCGCTGCTGGGTTTGGCATGGAATGTGGGTGAGGGCAGGCAGGGCGGGGCGAGGAGAGGAGAGGGTTAGGGTAGGCATGAAGAAATGCTCTCAACCTTAGGCTATGGTGTAGACCGTGGGACTGTGGGAGGAAGGTAGGTTCCTTTTGAGTCGCCTCAACAGTGGACCGTGGGTGGGTGGGACAGTGGGACTATGGGAGGTAGGATCTGGGTATTCTGTGCTTCTGGGGCTGGCATGGTGGAGGGGCGAGGGCAAGGGGGCGGAGGGAAGGGTAAGGGTGTGGACTGTGGGACACTGGGGACTATGGGAGGTAGGTTTCTTGGAGCTTCACTCACTATGGCAGCGAATTCATTCTGGCATGATGGGGTTGGCATGATTTGTGAGACGGGGGAAGGGCATGATATGTGCGATGGGGGAAGGGGAGAGGACAGGGGGGGGCAGGGGTGGGGTGGGGAGGGGGGAGGGTTCAGGTCGGCTGAAGGAGTGCAGTGCGTGAGGGCAACAATCACACCACGAGTCGTGGGGTGTGTGCGTGCCTCTTAGCCCGCACCATGGGGATCATGGGGTGTACTCGTGTAACCGTGTAACCATGTAACTGTGTAAACAAGCACATAATAAGGAAACCATTCACGTGTGCGCCCGGTCCCTCCCTCCCTTTGCCTGCCAACCAGTGCTGCAGGCAAGAAATCCCACACACCCGAGGCCAACATCAGGCCTTCATCAGAATTACACCAGGCCTACACCAGGCTTACACCAGGCTTACACCAGGCTTACACCAGGCTTACACCAGGCCTACACCAGGCTTACACCAGGCCTACACCAGGCCTACACCAGGCTTACACCAGGCCTACACCAGGCCTACACCAGGCTTACACCAGGCCTACACCAGGCCTACACCAGGCCTACACCAGGCTTACACCAGGCCTACACCAGGCCTACACCAGGCCTACACCAGGCTTACACCAGGCTTACACCAGACCAGGCCTACACCAGGCCTACATCAGGCAGTGGGGAGGCAACTGAACTCAACTCATCCTCCCAAGCTCCTCACACGTGTCGAGCTATTCACAGGTGATCAAGTAATGCAAGGGCACGGCAAGTGAACTATACTCACCCTCTCCGATTTCAAAATCCCACCCCCGCACCTCGTGCGCCTGAGCCTGCTCCGCCCCCTTGCCCGTGGCCGCTGTGTTCTAACTTGTTAGGGTCACTCAAGAGTTCGCACACTATGTGTCTATACAACAAAGTTAAGCTCACTCTCAAACAAATCACTCACCCTCCCCCACTTGGAAATCCCACCCCAGCACCTCATGTGCCTGAGCCTGCTCCGTCCCCTTGCCCGTGGCCGCTGTGAATCCCACCAACAGCGGCGGGGGGGGCGAAACTGCATCCGGATCGTTCCCGCCGAGCCACTCGCAGGTGTCCAGGAACATGGAGAGGACAGCTGAGCGTGGGAGAGGGGGGGAGGCGGAGGCGGACGGAGAGGAGGGGGAGGGGCGAGGGCAGCGATTGAAACCAGGGAAGTGAGGGAAGCGAGGAGAACGTTTAGAGCAGGTGTTCGGGAATGTGGTGAGCCCGGCCGAGCGCGGGAGAGAGGGGGAAGAGGGGGAGGAGGCGGAGGAGGAAGAGGAGCGAGAGGAGAGCAGGGGTGGGGGAGGGGGGGAAGAGGAAGGAGCGGGGGCGGGGGAGAGGTAGACGGTGAGGTGGGAGGAGGAGGCGTTGTAGTGGATGGTGGCGAGGAGGGTCTGGCCGGCGTTGAGGGCGGGAATGCCGAGGGGGTGCACGGGGGCAGAGGCGAGAGAGAGCATGCTGCCGTGCAGGTTCACCCCCACGTGGTGGTCGGGGCGGTCCCAGAACTCCAGGGAGGCCGATGTGTCAAACTCCACTGCCAGGCTCCTGTGCTGCTGTGGATGGTAGAGGGAGGGGAGGGAGAAGTGCTTGAGAGATTTAGATGTGTCGCACTCCACCGCGAGGCTCCTGTCCTGTGCTGCTGTGCATGGGAGGGGGAGCAGCAAAGGGGAGCAGCAGATAAAGAGAACCGCAGAAACGCAAAGCAGCAGCAAGAGAGAGCAAGACATGCAGAGGAAGAGCAGCAGACAATGAACAAGGAAGACGGAAGGCAAGAGAAGGAAGACGAAACACGGGAGGCGAGCGAGAAGAAAGAGATGAAACTGATGAGCATACCTCCTCGTGGTAGGCCGAACGAGGGCAATGGTATCATCACAACGTCTATGCCCTCCCGGCCTATCCCCACCGAATTGAGAGAAAGGAGCTGTTCTTTAGGAAACACATACCTGAGATGACACGCCACTGCTGGAACTGGAATTATCAGCACCAGCTGTACTCCCCGGGGGCAGCAGCACACGGCCGTAGCCCAGGGAGGGCCCCGGCAGGCCGAGCGTAGGCGTTGGCAGCATCACAAACGCCAAGCCCTCGCCGCCCAGCCCGGCGGCATTGGGGGAGGAGATGCGGAAGGTGAAGGAGGTGGAGAAGGAGAAGGGGCGGCAGGGGGAGGCGGGCGTGGCGGGGGCGAGCAGGGCGAAGGGGGCAGGGTGCAGCGCGAGGGAGGCAGAATTGAAGTCGGAGAGTGAGGTGAGGGAGAGGGAGGATGAATTGCGGCGAGCTGAGCCGGCTGTGATGAGCGGGTGCGCGCTGGAGAGCGGCCAGTGGGAGAATGACTTGAGTGGGGAGGGGTCGGCTGCAGGGCAGTGACAGGGATGGGGAGTGGGGGGGAAGGGCGGCAGGGGGGGAGAGGAGGGATGGGGAAGGGAGGGGGAATGAGTGAGTCTTGGGTGTTGGAGAGCCATTGGGAGGAGGACTTGAGAGGGGAGGGGTCGGCTGCAGGGCAGTGACAGGGATGGGGAGTGGGGCGGAAGGGAGGGAGGAGGTGAACGGGAAGTGGGATTGTGAGTAGACGTGCAATGAGAAATCGATGATGCACTTGAGTGGGAGTTGAGCATGTGTGCAGCGCATGCTTTCAGCCAACTATACCTGTGACACACCTGTGACCCTGCCAACCATTTCTGCCTCTCTGACTCACTGCGGGTAGGCATGACAGACGCAAGGTCGATAGCCGTGCTCCCCGCTCCTGCTCCTCCTCCCGCTTCCGACGCCACGTCCACTCGCTTTACCGCCGCCGCCTTCACTCCCGCTCCCTCTCCTGCTCCTCCTTCTGTACTCGCAGCAATAGTGGCGCTGGTGGCGCCGATGCTACTGCTCTCACTGCCGCTGGCAGCTATGCTGCTTTTGGCGGTGGCAATACCGCTGGTGGTGGTAACGGTGGCAGTGCCGCTCGTGCTGTTACTGTCTTGCACACCTCGAATCACCAAGTGCAGCGTCACTCCCCCTGGGGGCACTACCAGCGAGGAAGGAGGGGAGGCGGTGGAAGAAGAGGAGGAGGAATCTGGGAGGTCAGGGAGGGGGAAGAGGAGGGGTCCCACGTGGAACCAAGGCAAGGCGCCGGACAAACTCGCGCTGCTTCCCCCACACGGCACACCCACCCGCCACTCTGCCCACACCTGCTCCCTCGCTCCTCCTTCCCCCGCCCCTCCCCCAGCAGCTGCATCTCCCCCTGCTGTGGCGGCGGCGGAGGCGTTCAGCGGAACTGCCAGCAGCAGCACCCTCAACAGCCGCTCTGCCTCCCCTTCCGCGCCCCCTTCCCCCTCCGCGCACAGGCTGGCCCGCGCAAAGAACGAGAGCGACAGCTGGCGCGGGGACTGCTGCTGCTGCTGCTGCGCCTGCTGTGACTCGTTGCTGGTCAACGATGCGGCGGGTTTGAGTTTGCACAGCGCTTGCGTCACGCCTGGGCTGCCAAACGCGCTACTGCTATTGTTAGTACTATCATTGCTACTACCAGAAGCACCGTCGCCACTAGACGACGCGGAAAAAGCGGAAGTCAGCTGTAGAAAACGGGACCCGTCAGCTGCCAGAAGAGTGTCCGTGACTCCCGTGACCCCATCCGCTATTGTCACGTCAGCAGGCGATGCCGTTACTTCTGATGTCGCGGCCACGGCTTCCACCAGTGTCGCACCCGCTGGAGTGAGCAATGCTCCGCGGTTTGCGCCGCCAAATGCGGCGGTGGCTAAGAACTCGTCGGTTGAGAGTGTCTCCCCAGGTTCCAACGCGCGCCACGGGAATAAGTACGGCCATGGATCGCACGACGCGTTCAGCTTCTTGTGACGCCATCCTGTATCGAGACAGCTTGTATCGAAGCTTGGGTTTGAGAGGAAGTTTGACGATTCACCTGTTCCGGCCAAAGAAGGTACACCCTCTTTCTCGCCATTGTGAATTCGGTTATAGTGAAGTCAAGATGGGAAAAGCACGGTTAACGGTGGTTAGATTAAGTCTAGGTATGGTTCAATCAGACAAATCGAAGGTAACTAGGTTTTCCATCAGTTCAGCACAGTTCAGTGTAGTGAGAAAGAGGGTGTATTATGGAAGTGAGTTGGAGATATAGGGTAATTTAGTGGAGAACCGTCATTGCAAGTATGCTTAAGACTCGACTGCTTCGTATATCGACGAAACCGTCAACGGCGGTGATACCTGAGAACGGGAGAAGCGGAGCCTCTTACTTGGATTGTTTAGGTTACGGCAGTCGACGAGACCATCAGCGACACGAACGAAGGCTACGAGATAGAGGAGAAACGTAACCCGTCGGGAAATCGCGACATGAAGAAGATATATGGCTCCTGGTTGAACCCGCAATTTGCGGCGAGAGATTCGGCTGGAATTCATCGGCTCTTATACGTTTCTCGGAGATATCATTGTTCCCTAAACATACTACTTTTCCCGATAGGTTGTCATAGAAAAACATTTCCTCCACAGAGTCTGCTGTTTTGGCGGCAAGGGGCACTCTGAACGAGGGAGGGGTCGGACGTTCAATTCCGAGAGAATCCCGGATTAACACTTGATATTCCGAGTCGGCCTGTCCCGCGACTGCTTCGGTTATTACACTAAAAGCAGCAACGAGCACCACAGTTGTGGTACTGTACGAACGAACGTTTACGAGAGCGGTGCACTCGCGTGTACCAGGTGACAATCTCTCGACCACTCGCCAGTTTCCATCTGGGGTGGGTGGGGATAGTAGTTGCCTGCCCGCAGTTTAGTCCGCCCGCCCCCACGGTTCGTCAATGTGCCAACGTGTGGTTCACGACGGTACGCGTGTAGTCTTCTTGAGCAAAAACTTTGTTCGCATGCGACAAGGATGGATGGGACCCGAGTCGCGAGCCATAGGTTTCGAACCTGAGTAAACGACAGATGTGTTACTGACGTCACGGTTCAGGGTGTACAAGTCATACACCTTACAAGAAAACGCTGCTAGCACAGTACACCTTACAAAGATGTATATGTTTACATAGGCCCCCATGCTTCCTCTGATCCTTTTGACCTTTCTCATCCGTCCAATCTGTCGGTTTCTGATCCTACGGTTTTTTGTGCTAGTCATCCATGCCCCTTTTTCTGGGTTTTTCCAATCTACCCTTCTGCCCGTTACTTCCTGTGCACTGTCAGAAGACGTCCCAGTAGCATAACCATAGGTGGTACGGTAGGAGCAGTAGAAGCACCATAAACAGTGGAAGCAGCTGCACCAGCAGCAACATCAGGAGCTGTAGCACCGGCAGCAGATGCAATTTAGCAAGGCAATGGACAGCAAGAGCAACGAAACCGTCCCCTGAGCAGCTGAGTGTTGCTGAGCGGACCTTGATGGAGAGAAAAAAAAAAGGGTGGCAGGGAGGGAGGCAGGCAGAGAGGCTGTAAATGGGGCTATTGGATTGGGGGGGGGGGGGGGGGGGGGGGGGGTTGGGGGGGGGTGGACAAAGTGGTGACAGCGGATGAGAGAGAAGGGGTTGATGGATGAATGGGAGCAGAGAAGGGGCGGCTCGGTTCGTAAGAGGAGAGGAAAGGTTGTTGGAAGTAGAGGAGGGGCGAGTGGTGATATGAGAAAGGTTAATCTATCAACTGAGGTTTCTCCTAACAACGATGGAGAAGCAGATGAAGGGGAGGGAGACCTGCAGCAGAAAGTGAGCCACCGCCAGCACCAGCACTACCAACAGCAGCAGCAGCAATAGCAGAGTCGTTTCAGGGAGGGGTAGGGACGAACGAGCATTGGAAGAAGCTGCAGTTAACTGGAGTGGAGTGTTGGCCCCACCCTCGCTTGGGAAACGCCGACGACTTGGTCGGATGTACGGGAGAAGCAGCCGACCGTTCACAGTGGGAGAGCTGCTCGACGGGCTTCGTCGAGCTGCAGGGGACCGCTGTGGTGTTGCCGTCAACCAAGAGTGTTCGACGGCCTTCTTCTGCAGGGCAGGTCGACGAGGTGGCTCTCGATCTGTACAGGTCTCTCAAGGGGCTGGAGCGGTCGACCAGCGAGCTCGATAGCTGCAGCTGACTGGGCTGGGCGATGGGTGGGCCGTCGACCAGGAGGAACAGTTCGACCGGGAGGTCGACGGAGCAGTCCGTCGAGCTGACAAGTGAGCAGCGGTCGACGAGGGGAGCTTGGCGACAACCGCTTACGGTTCTGGTCAACGGAAGGGGTTCGTCGACCACGGGGTAGCTCGACAGGAGCTGTGGTCGGCCAGAGGCACCTGGTGGTCGACCAGCGGCACCTGGTGGTCGACCGGAGGCTCCTGGTGGTCGACCAGAGCATTGGGTGGTCGACTAGGCCGACTGGGTAACCTGCTCGACGAGTTCTGCGGAGGCACGTAAACATCGTCGAAATCACGATGGCGAAGGCGACTTTGGGCTGGTATCTCGAAGTCGATGTGGCTCGTAAGGCGCAGACAACAGCCGATGGATGCCCAACAGGGCAAATCGGGCCAATCGTCTGCGCGCACCTGCAAGCGTGCGCACTGCTGTCTTCTACGGGGCAATGCTGGAAAGCCACTTTGCTGTAGCGTTGGTACGCCGTTGACCTGCTCCGTTGGCAGGTCGCCCTTCTGCAGTGCTGGCGCGGCTCCTCTATGCAACGCTGGCAGTGCGGTCGACCGTGCAATGCTGGCGGTCGACCAGGCTAGCTGCAGGGTTGCTAGGTGCCTGATCTAGTCATTTTTGTCATTGTGAACTCTATCATTCTGCAATTCCAACTTTGCTAGTGAAACTCTTGCCAACTTCTCCCGTGAATGCACAAGTACTAAGGAACGCAAGCAAAGCTACGATCACTCTTAGTAGTTCGTGCCTACCCCCCCCGTAGCCTAGCTCACTACCTTTGTAGGGTGACTCTTCGCATGGTGCAGTGAGCATAGACGACCCCGCAAATTACCTTCAGTTAGGAGCTGACTTTTGCACCTACGAAGTCGTTCCTAGGCCGACAGCAGCGATACTCACCGTCGTCGACCCCGTAGCTGATGCGGGTGTAGCGGACACCTTGGAGGCACGCTTGGGTGATGCGAGGAAATGCTACGTAGATGGCGAGTATGGGACGATCCCCTTACTGATCATCGAGTTAAGCATTCGGTCGCAGTTGGTGACGTAACACCCATCCCGTCCTGCATCTCCTCGACCGGTGCGCAACGAAGGTGGCGTCGACGACGAGGTCGACGGTGGTGCACGAGTCAGCAGCAGCGAAGGCACGAAGCAGCGAGGGGTGATCAAGGTCGGCGGTGGCGTTGACAGGATTCAGGCCCGAGTGCAGCGTCGACGCCGGCTGTAGGCAGCTCACGTGTTGACGTCGATGTTCGACGTCGCTCTCTTCTACGAAGCGGTGGAGGGATCTCGGCGACGACGCATGCGACGGGGGGCGGGATTGCATCGGCGTATGGCTACCTCAAGTTCTCGCCGGGCCGGATCACCGTCGCACCGCTGTAAGGTCGACGGGACCTCATCACCTGGAGGGAGTCGATAGAACCTCGGCTGGAGGGCACCAAGCTGAAGGGTTTCGTCGACGGCACCGTACTCATTCCGCCCAAGGAGGATGTCGAGCCGTGCAGGGAGTTTTGTGCTGCTCACGTGCTCACCTTGATGGCCATCTCAAGGTGTTGCTCGCCTGTGGTGCAGCTAGCGCTCAGGAGCTGTCGAGAGCCACTACATGCTAGTCACCATGCATGGCACTTCATCCTGTCGACGTACTAGGTGAAGGACGACCTGTACACTGGCCAACTGGAGGAAAAGATGACACACATTCGGATGGGAGAGCAGGATTCGGCGACGGACTACTGCAACTGTGCTCGATGGATCCTGGCTGAGATGCAGATGGGAGCCGAATGCTCGACGGCGTCCTACATCAGACACATCGTCAAGGGCCTACCGCGTGGCTACAACCTCATGAAGAGGATGATGATGGTGCTCGGCACGCGTGAGTCCCTCGACGAGGACTCCATCACCAGCTACATCCTTCAAGACGAGGCAATGCAGGAGGCAGAATAGCCCACGGAGCTCCTTCCGCAGGCAAATTACGCTGCACCGACGAAGCCGAAGCAGCAGCAAGGGTAGCGCGGGAAGCAGGGCGGAGGGGGTAGCGGAGGTGGGTGGTCGACAAAGGACGTCGACGAGAAGAGGTCGGCGCGGGGCAAGGGCCGTGGAGGTGGTGGTCGACAACAGGAGTGCTGGATCTGCGGCGACCCCGACCATCTTTCCTACGAGTGCCCTGACCGCGGCAACAAGGACGAGGACGACACCAAGGGAGGCCGTGGCCAGTCGACCAGCCTTCGCCCCCATCGTGATGAGAAGCCGCGCAAGGAGAAGCAGACGTTGAAGAAGACGTCGTCGACGAAGGACGTCGACACCTCCAGCGGCAAGGGCCAAGGCGACGGGGAGGCGTCGTGCTCGATGGTTGGCGTGGTGGAGCCGACAGTCTCACTGGCACCGGAGGCTGACGAGGACTTCCAGGCGGTGGCGACAGCTATGCAGGCCAACCCGATGGTGGTGCTGCTTGACAGTGGGTGCTCCCTCCACCTGATGTGAACGAAGGCGGTCTTCGTCGACATGGCACCAAGCGACGATGTGAAGCATGTGCGTGGACTCAACAGGGCGCTGCAACATGTCGAGGGTTGAGGAACCATCGCTCTGCAAGGGGAGGCCGGGAAGCGGGTCCTCATCCCTGACGTGCTCTACGTTCCGGTCATATAGGTGAACCTGCTATGTGCTGGCCAGCTGAAGGAGAGCGGAGTGCAGCTGCAGGGCGACAGCGACGAGATGCTGCTCATCGCCTCGACCAGGGAGGTGCTGAGTCGAACACGCTACACTGGACGAGTCCTCTGCACCGACCTCCGCCCCTACTTGACGCGGTCGCCGTCGACCGAGGTGATGGCTCTTTGGACAATCGTCTCGGCGACGAAGTCGACCCCTCAT